ATATATATTATATATATTTGATTTGGGGAGAAGTTTCTAATTTCACTGTACTTATTTTATTATGAGCTACATATTACTAGGCTTCATGATGGTTCAGAACCACACTGATATTTCTGTGATTTGTCCCCTTGACATCTCTTACATAGTTTGCTTAGTTGTAAGTTTTTTACCTTTTGCCTATATATGTGTGAACTTTTTGAGGACAGCAACCAAGTAGCTTGCTTCTTTTTGTCTACCTGGTGTCTGACACAGTGTAAGATCATATAAGGCAAGTATCTTAAAATTTGTGATTATCAACTGTTAAATTAATTAAACAAGGAGGCCATTAGACTGAGATGGCTCTAATGCCGCCAGCCTCCGTAAGCAAACCAGAATCTCAGCCTGTAAATGCCTCCAGCTTGGGAAATGGAAACCCAAGGACGCCCATCACAAACAGCCAACTAGGCTTTCAGCTCTAGCCAGTCACTTCCTTACTGTGCTTCCACTGTCTCCACAGAAGTCTCTCCCGGCTCCTCTCCAGGGAGCGCCCCTAACCACTTCTAGTTTGGCACTGCCCAATTGGAATCAATTTAAATAAACTCTTAAAAGTTTTTAATATGCCTCACTTTATCTTTTAACATCATTTAACTATCTTGGTTAATATACCTTTTCCAGCTTTTCTACAGCCTGTAAAAAAAAAAAAAAGCAAGACTGCAAAACTCTGCTTAAACAGAAGGCTTTCTTGACATTTCTGTTGGCCCGATGTATCCATATCCCAGCAGAGTTTTATTGTCCCTCTGAACTATCATAGCGTCATCTACATACTTCTATTACACCACTTGTTTCAAAGTTTTGTAATTTTGTTTTTGTGCCTGTTTTCCAATAGATTTGTATGTTCCTTGAGAGTAAGAATAATTACGTTATTTGCCCTTATGTCTCCAGTGCCTACCATTATGCTAACTAGTCTAGGAGTAGGTACTCAACAGATGTTTGTTGGTTGAATGAATTAATTTAATAAAATAGATTTCTCAGGTATAATTTCTTTTAGGTAAATTTCATCTGATTTCTAAGTTAGGAAGAGTGGAAAAAAGTGTAGAAGCTCACTGTGGAGCAGTACTTGCAGGAAGATGGAATTATGAAGGAACAGCATTAGTTACAGGTAAGTTGTCTGCAAAAATGACATTTTAAATGAATTTTTTAAAGAAAAATTTCCAAAGGAATGGAATGTTTTCATTTAGCAATAGTGTCTTTCACTGTCTAATAGCAAATAATTGGCACAGTGTTGATCTAGACTGCTATATAATGTTATAATTCAGAGTGTCATATTAATTATTAGTTTTCTTATATGACTTATCGAGAATGTTCTGTCAAAGAAGGCTTTTGGAGTGGTCAAGTGTAGGTAAATTAAAGTTGTAATTCTTTAGGATTTTAAAATTCAAAATATTCTCCTTTAACTGACCTTTATCCTCCTTCCATCTCTCTCCCATCTCCTGCTCTACTGCAAGGATTCTCATTTTCACCTGTTGTATTAATTATCTATTGTTGCATAACAAATTACCCCAGAAATTAGTGACTTAAAATAATAAAGTCGTATTGTCTCACAATTTCTGTAGGACAGGGAACAATTTAGCTGGGTGGCTCTGTCCCAGACTCCAGAAGTTGGATGGGGCTGCAGTCGTATGAAGGCTTAATTGGGGCTGGAGGACCTACTTCCAAGATGGCTCCCTCGCATGGCTGTTGGCAAGAGGTCTTAGTTTCTCTCTGACTGTTGGCAGGAGGCGTTAGTTCCTCACCACATGGATCCTCCATAGGGCTGCTTTTGTATTCTAACAACATAACAGCCAGCTTCTCCCCCAAGTGAGTGATCCAAGAGAGAGCAAGATGGAAGCCACAATGTATTTCATGATCTACCCTTGGAAGTCATACTGCACCATTTCTACCACATTCTATTAGAAGCAAGTCACTAAGTATAGCCCACGCTGAAAGAGAGAGAAATAAAGCTCCATCTCGTAAAAGGAGGATAAAAAGAATTTGCGGATATGTTTTATTTTTTTTATTTATTTATTTATTTTTTTTATTTATTTTTTCCCCCAAAGCCCCAGTAGATAGTTGTATGTCATAGCTGCGCATCCTTCTAGTTGCTGTATGTGGGACGCGGCCTCAGCATGGCCAGAGAAGCGGTGCGTCGGGGCGCACCCGGGATCCGAACCCGGGCTGCCAGCAGCGGAGCGCACGCACTTAACCGCTAAGCCACGGGGCCGGCCCGCGGATATGTTTTAAAATAGCACGTTTATTCCCTGGGCCTTCTGTAGGACTTTTCTCAGTGAGCTGTCTCTTCTTTTGCTTCTTTTTTCAACTTCTCCTTTTCCAGTGGTTTCTTTTTCAGTGTATAAATGTGTTCAGATGTCATCCATTTTGAAAATTGAGAAGAAAGAAATACAAATCCCTCCTTTAACAAATAACTCTCTAGCTACAACTTCTTTTTTTCTTCTCCTTTCAGGCAAGCTGTTCAAAGGAGCAGTCTACCACCTGACTCCGTTCAGTCCCCAGCTCACTGGGATTTGGCTGCAGCTCTTCCTATTACACAGAGAGCACTTTTCTTAGAATTCTGGAACGGAGATTTCAGTGAAAATGAAAGCATTTTTTGAATAATATACTCATAAGTCTTCTAAGATTAAAGGAAAAAAAAATTTTTTGTCATGGAAGTTAGGCTACTTTGATAAAATTGTTTCAAAGTGATTTTAGTTAAATTTTATAATTACGAAGTACTGTCATTTAATTAGAATAAATCACGTCTGAATTTTAAATATGCATTAATATATACACTGCTTATTTTTATATGCAAATTTAATGTTTAAATTTATTTCCTATAGATAACAATATCTGTTGTTATTTTCTCTTTGCAGTTGGAGAAGACGGACAAATAAAAATCTGGTCAAAGACTGGGATGCTAAGATCAACTTTAGCTCAGCAAGGTATGTAAGATACTCAATAAAAATGGCTTAACATTTTCCTTTAAAACCAGTCTAATATAGTTCCTAAGACTGATTTTGGTCAGGTTCAAAACCTGAAATCTCTTACTTCTATTTACACTTTTTCCTCTTACTTTCCATGTTGCCTGATATGCCATGGTAACTGTATTATTCGAGCCAAGAAATGTAAGAAATACTCAAGAGCTTTTTCTTTGTTAATGAGTCTATATAAATATAGTTATAGGCTAATGATTCTTTTTAAAATAATTCTGAAGCATTATAAGCATATCCTATAGGACTGGGTGTGTAGTTAAGTAAGTAATAGTAGTAGGAAACATTAAGAGTATCTCCGTACTTAAAAAGTCCTAACAACTTCGTAATATTAGCACCTTTTTAAAATTATGTTGTACATTCAATTTCTTTCTTTTTTTTTTTTTAAACTTTATTTATTTTTCCCCCCAAAGCCCCAGCAGATAGTAGTATGTCATAGCTGCACATCCTTCTAGTTGCTGTATGTGGGACTCGGCCTCAGCATGGCCGGAGAAGTGGTGCGTCGGTGCACGCCCGGGATCCGAACCCAGGCCGCCAGCAGCGGAGTGCGCGCACTTAACCGCTAAGCCATGGGGCTGTCCCTGTACATTCAATTTTTATACAAATGGAGAGCAGCAGACACCCTGATGATCCAAAACTTGGTAAACTACAACTACTTAGAGCAGCATCTCGGTTTTCTGTGTCAATTGAGAAGAAGTGCCCATAAAGTCAGTCCAGTGGTCATTCCTGTGGGGACTTAGATTACATATGATTTTTTTCTGTATAGCAGATTTAGTTTCCTAATTAGGTGTTACCTAGGAACAATAAAGCAGTTTTAATGTTGACCTGAGCACATATCAGCTGATCTTCCGAGACAGGTTGCCAACAGCTTGTCAACTATTCTTCAGAATTATATGATAAAGTCATATTGTGAAGCATCTCCAATAAGTGACTTCCAAAAATTTCCAGGTTTCATTTTTAAAATCATGCTTACTCTTAGGATAGTGTTAAAATTGTTACAATTTTTTTAGCTACACATTAACCAAATGTTAGCAAAGATAACCAGAAGTACTAGGTAGACGTTAAATCTTTGCTACAGATAATCTCCAAGTAGAATTATTTATCCATGAGTAGAAAATTTAGAGTTCATAGAAGCATTCATGGGTGAATTTCAGTTAGAAAAAGAAGTCAATTTATTGTTACTTTAGTAATAAAATGTACCTTTAGGAAATAAATTTTATTTTAGTCTTCCAGTGGGCATAGGGATTTACTTTTTACTTTATAATTTTTGTTAGGGCTAATTCTTTGGCATTCTCCCTTTGTGATGGGACTTATGAAGGACTGACAGAATTCTTCTAGAGATCACTAACCCCTTGGAGCTGGGGCTGCAGTTCTTTTCAGCTGTTGCTGCTGTGCAGACATTCTTTTTTCCTTTCTTTTCTCCTTTATTAAATGTATTGTCTACAGAAGACACAGATCTTCAGAAAAATTCTGAAAGCTTATCTCACTACCCACTATATTAATCTGAATTCTTGCCTAAGATCCTTCACCAGTGACCCCATAAGCCTCCTTCTGGTTCCTTAAATTCATCCAATCATCTCATTCCCTTTTACTATCCTTGCATCCACCATTTTGGACTTTCCAAAGTCGAAAGTTGAAACTTAGAATAAGTTGTTTAATATAAACATTGTTAATCAAAGATAGTAGGTGACACATTGCTATGAGTTCAGTACTATAGTTTACCTGTATAATGGATCTGGAAACCAAATTGCTACTTATTTTACTCTTTCAGAGAAAATACATTGTTTCCAAATTTGCAAAGTCAGCTTGGAAGCACAAGGTGTTCGTAAATTAAGGACTTTTTATAAATCAGAGGTCATAAATAGGTGGCCTGTGGGCTGAATCTGGCCCTCTAGCTTGGTACAGGCCCAACATTAAAAGTCAAAACATTTCACATACAAATTTGGATTTCTGGTGTCTTTTGAAACCTTGGGAAGACGTGGCAACATTAGGCCTGCTTTCCAGAATAAATACAATCAGCTGGAGTTCGGTAGTGGCTGCTCTGCTTTAGTTGGATTTTAAGCTTCTCTTACTTTTCTTACACTCTACCCTACTTCACTCATTTATGTTACATTGTAGTACACAACATACAGCTCTGAAGGGATTTGAGTTTGCCACCCCTGCTTTCAATAATAGGATCATAAATTTTTTTTTCTTTTTTTTTTTTGTGAGGAAGCTTGGCCATAAGCTAACATCTATTGCCAATCTTCCTCTTTTTGCTGAGGAAGACTGGCCCTGAGCTAACATCTGTGCCCATCTTCCTCCATTTTGGTTATGGGATGCCTCCACAGCATGGCTTGATAAGCGGTCTGTAGGTGCTGCACCTGGGATCTGAACCTGTGAACCCCCCGGGCCAAAGTGGAGAGTGTGAACTTAACCACTATGCCACTGGGCTGGCCCCAGGATCATAAAATTTTGATTGTTAGTATGTATCTTTCAGGGAGGACTTAAATCTTAATTTAAAGTATTAATTTTTAATAGATAATACATTCACCTGATTCAGAATTTAAAGAATAAAAAAGGGTATAAAGTTACCTTTTAAATACTACTACTGTATCTCATATTACCCTGTCTTCCAGCTACCCAGCAAACATTCCCCGAGGCAACTGGTGTCACCATTTTCTTTTGTAGCAAATGTTTTTATATATTCTTTTTTTTCTTTTATAAACAAGTGGTTGTATACTGTATCTACTACAGTATGTTCCTTGTTTTTTTTTTTCAATTGAATAATGAACTATCTTGGAGATAGTTCTGTATCAGTAACTAAAAATCTTCCTTAAGTTGTTTTCCAAATGAATGTACCATTTTGCATTCCCACTAGAAATATATGAAGGTTCCAATTTCTCCACATCCTCAATACTTGTTATTGTATTTTTGATTATAGTCATCCTAGTGAGTGTAAAGTGGTATCTCATTATAGTTTTGATTTGCATTTCCCTGATGGCTAATGTGTTGAGCATCTTTTATATGCTTATTGGCCATTTATGTATCTTCTTTAGAGAAATACCTTTTCAAATCCTTTGCACATGTTTTAGTTGAGTTGTCTTTTTATTGTTGACTTGTAAGAGTTCTTTGTATATTCTGGTTAATAGACTCTTATTAGATATGTGATTTGCAATTATTTTTTTTTCTCATTCGGTGAGTTTCCTTTTCACTTTCTTGATGGTATCTTTTGAAACAAAAATTTTGATGAAGTTCAAATTACCCATTTTTTTCTTTGATTGCTTCTGCTTTTGGTGTCAAATCTGAGAAACCATTGCCTAATCCAAAGTCATGAATATTTATGCATATATTTTCTTCTAAGAGTTTTATAGTTTTAGTGTTTACATTTAGGTCTATGATCCATTTTGAGTTAGTTTTTGTGTATGGTGTTTATTTTGGAGAGGGATCTGTGGTGCTCTTTTTTTTTCCTTCTTCCCAAATAAATGGGTAAATAGGATTCTCTTTAAAGCTAAAATACAGATAACATCATATAATATAGGTAATTCTATCAATATTCTAAAGAGCTGTAATTTCCTTATCATCAAGTGGCTGTGAAAACCCTGATCATCTTTATCCTATTTGAATCTTATTTATTCTTCTCAAGGTTTGTGTTAATTATGAGATTAATGGGCAAAAGTAGATTAGATAGATTTTCTTATTTTAGTTAACTTACTGGTATTTCAACTGAGTAATCTGATATCTCTTTAGATTAAGAATTACAAATTTATTATAGAACTATGCATTCAATTTTTGAGTTTTTTTCATTTGTGCCACTCACACTTTCCTATAAGGCATAGACTTTTCCTGTTTTATCTTTGGGGAAGATCATTAGAGGAGTTAAGTTGTAATGACATTAAGCCTGAAGGAAAAATCCCTGGTTATTTATAAGGTTTGTTTATTAGAGACTGCAAATTTTGAGGGTGATTATAAATCTGAATTACTGAAAGCTGGATGCTGAAGGCTTAAGAAGGCTAAGGTAGCTGGGGGTGGGAGACTCCTGCCTCTTTTGAGGAGAAAAACTGTAAATTTTGGCACAAAAATGAAATAACATAAGCCTGAATTATTGTAAAACTTGGAATTCAGTAAATAATGTTGAAAGCATCCTTGTGATTTTTACTACATGTTTATGTTAATTATACTTATTCCTTGATGAATAAAAATTAATTCCTGAATTTATTTCTTGATGATTGGAACCAGATATACAGATAGAAAAAGTCATGGTCATCACCTTCTCCTCTAATAAGAGAAGAAGCATTAATCCCAACTTTTTTTTGGGAAAATTTGACTTAGTTTAAAAATGATTTTTCCTGGTACCTATGAGGAGTTATTTTTACTTATTAGAGAAAAATAATGTGTAGGCTGGGGATAATTATCATTAGGCCCTATCTTGTGTTACATTGTATATTTTAATTATAGGTTAAAATTGGAATAGAGTAATACTGCAAACCTTTAAGGACATTTCCTCCACGCTATATTCAAATGGAAGAATGGAATGACAAAACATGGAGCCTGTCTATAATGAATTTAGTAAAGGAAGTAAATTGGAAATATAAATAACTGTAATACGAGGCAGAATGTGCTCTTTGCTATAAGGTGCTATGGGAGGGCAGGAAGGCAGAGATTACTGCTTTGGGGGAGAGAAAGTATCAAAAGGCTTCCTGGCAAATATTGCAGCTTCTTTTGACTGTGCTTTGAAAAATGAAGAAATTAGGTAAGGAAATAGGCTTGTTGGCAGTGAAGTGGATCTATGGAGGAAGTTAGATGATCAGAGGCATAGAGGCAGAACAGCACAAGGCGTGGAAGTCAGGTGAGTGGCAGCAGACTCCCTGGGCCAGGGTATAGGCTATGTGAGGGATAGTACTGCCAGAGGGATCAAGACGCTGATGGTCTTGGTTGCTAAATGAAGAGGTTTGGAGTTTATCCTATAACTATACAAAACCTTTAGAAAAATTGAGCAGGATAGTACGAGATAAGTAAGGGCTGTCTTTTAGGAAGATACGTTAGCAGTAATATGTGGGATAAATTAGAGGAGACAGAAGTTAAATGGCGGTGGCCAGTAAGGAGGTTACTGAAATGTTCTAGTATGGATAGGCTAGTGTGGATTAAGGCTTGAACAGAGGTGGTGATGATAGCAGTTGATAAAGGTGAACAGTTCTCAGTGGCTGAGAGGAATGGATACTCTGTACGAGGTAAAGAATTCAGAGGGAAGACTGGGCTGGCCCGTGGCTTAGCGGTTAAGTGCGCGCGCTCCGCTACGAGTGGCCTGGGTTCGGATCCCGGGCGCGCACCAACGCACTTCTTCTCCGGCCATGCTGAGGCCACGTCCCACATACAGCAACTAGAAGGATGTGCAGCTATGACATAGAACTATCTACTGGGGCTTTGGGGGGAAAATAAATAAATAAAAAAAAATTAAAAAAAAAAAGAATTCAGAGGAAAGAATAAATGAGGGGATATGTACAGAGGGATGATAGTTTTGAATATGTAGAGTTTGAAGTTCTGGCATGTCTTTGGGGCAAGTGGAAGTGTGTTAGTGCTCAGAAGTAAAGGCTGAAATATTAATGTGCGAGTCCGTTATAGGAAGGTGAAAGGTGAAGCTGTGGGGGGAGTTGAGATCCCCAAGGGAGAAGTGGCTGAAGATAGAAACTAAAGAATCAAATGCCTTCATTTAAACTTTTTCTCTGTACTGACCCAGTGACATACATAACCAAAAATTTGCTTTTTTGTGGAATAAAAAGCATTTGATTACTTACTGTTATTACAGATCCCTACAAATAGAATGAAAGGGAAATAATTCTTGGTTTTTGAATTCTTAATGATTTGGCAACCAAAAAAATTGAGTACCTACTACCATGAACAACACAGTGAACAAGTGGTTGCTTATTGCGTTACAGAGTAATTTCTAGTAGTAGTAGCTAACACTGCTTATATAGGGTCAGACTCTGCTCTAAGTACTTACATTCACACATATCACTCACCTATATTGTACTCAAGGCAAAGACAGCTAATGCTTCATCGTAACAGTGAAGAGTTTATTTCAAAAGCATTCTTAAAAACATGCAAAAACAACATTTTTAGGGGATACCTTTTAGTGTGAATGTGAAAAACATGGTGTATTTGACCATGTACTTCCTTAAAACAATCGAAATACATTTTTGTCTCCTCTTCTGTGGTTTAAAATGCCTTCAACAGGTTGAAAGAATTTAGATAATTTATTTTACAGAGAGATAAGGGTCTGACATTTAACACAACCCCAGGTGCATGTGGTTTCTTAAAAAATGTCAAAAAGGTCACATGATCATAGTGTACAAAGTCAGAAAAACAAGATCTTTTTGAGTGTCTTAACTGAAATGGAGCATAAATAAAAATTCCCAATATAAAAAGCAAGAAATTATTTCATTAAAATAAAACTATTTTTGTTTTTTGTCCCTTTTTTAATGATGAAATTAATAACATTATATAATTTGCTAAATGTTTTGTTGTAAAGTTATTCAACCTGAAGGCTATATTTGTTATGGCCACACTGACTTTGCAAAGTGAGGTGTAGCACTAGGAATAATTCAATGCTTTAATAAATATGTTTTTAAAAACATTTTAAATATTAAGGATTTGTTTCAAATAGTGGTGGGATGGATTTCATCATAATAGAAATCATTATTTTCTTTATGAAGCTAATTTATCCGCTTTCAATAATTACCTTCATCAGAATCACCCAAATTTGAAGTTGCACAGAGATGTAATATATCTCCTTTTGGAAGAGAAAACATTCATATATACAGTAGCTTCACACTTAACATTTTATTATTAATATAAGGGATGAATATCATGAAGACTTCTCTTAGTTCTTGATGTTATATCCATTTTGAATATTGGTGGTTAGGAAGATTGAAGTAATGAGACTTAGCTATTGATCTTATTTAGTATTGCTGATTTATCGTAAATAGCTATATTTGTTTTTTGATTGAAGGAATATAGTTAAAAACCACATGTTACAACAAAGTAATTACTTAATTTTTCCTCTATAAGCTTATTTTGTTTTATACTATAAGTTATTAAACCTGTTCTTTAACATTATTATTATTTAAAAAATTATTTTATAAACAGGAAATGAATAATCTCCATGTCCCAACAGGGAAGATAAATATTCTGAAGATTTATAAGGTTTATAAACAGGGAAATGGTGACACAGCTGACTTAATGGGGCCACAAATTCAATGTTAAGGAGGACAAAAGACAAAAACGTCCCAGTTCCTCATCCTATACCCCACCTGTGTCTCTTACCACAACTAAAAGGCTAGAGTCACATCCTGTACAACTCAATGGGAGTTGTATTTATTGAATTATTTCCTTGGGGGTAGCTGTTTGTCATACTTTAGTATACACCCCAGGAAAGTGTAATTATACTGAATGTATTCATTAAGATTTGATAGTCTTTAATTAAAATATATTAATTTACTTTTTTGCACAATAATTAGAGCTATAATAATGGAAATAAAGAAGGTACCTATAATTCTACCATCCTATCAAATAAGCTTTCCTCCCCTATTTTCTTCCAGTCCTCACCAAGAACCACATTTGAAATATCTGAAATTTTGGTTTACATTTTCTAGGGAGTTTATTAGAGTTGAGCTCTGTTCCTTGGAGATTTACTTTTGAAGCCCAGGTCAGCTCCTGGCTACTCACAGAGAATATTCCAAGAGAATGTACTTACCAAGTACTTAAGAAGTGCCATCTGAGGTTGGCCATCTCATTGGCCATCTGAAGTTTCCTTTGTTACAGAACAATCTAGATGTCACTGATATTTAAACAGAGTATTTAGACCCCATATAACATCTAACCTAAACCGTGGAAGGCAGGCTTCTGGATTTTTTTGGACTAGGTATACACTCGACTTGCTCACAATTAAATTATGTTCTGATTGGGAAGAAAATTGCAGGAAAGGAGTAGAAGGCCACTTGAACACAAGCATTTATCTTACTGAAATTTACTCCCTGTTGATTACTGATTACTCCTTGTTGACTGGCATCAGTTATGTTTTCCATTTAAATAAACAATTAAATCTTATTGATTGCCTGTAAAACCTTAGATTCAGATTTCGTTTTACTGAGAATGTAAATTCATGAAAGATTCACTCATTTATTCACAGAAAGTCAGCTGCTACAATAGTCTGACTTAGCAGTCCTGGACAATTTTTAAAAACTTGGTTTTATAATATAAATGGGTTAATATTTCATAGATTAATTGTATAACCTTGATTCACTTTCTTAATGAATAGGTAACTGGGTCAGAGAGTGGAGTACAGATAATTTAATGCTTTCAATAGATATGATATAAATAGGCTCAAATAAAGTATAGCCTTCCAGAAGATATTAGGTAATCTAGAAAGTAATTTGGTTTTTAAAAATACCATCTCTAGGGGCCGGCCCGGTGGCGCAAGTGGTTAAGTGCGTGCGCTCCGCTGTGGCGGCCCCGGGGTTCGCCGGTTCGGATCCCAGGTGTGCACCGACACACCGCTTGGCAAGCAGTGTTCCTCCCATATAAAGTGGAGGAAGATGGGCACGGATGTTAGCCCAGGGCCAGTCTTCCTCAGCAAAAAAAAAAGAGGAGGATTGGCAGATGTTAGCACGGGGCTGATCTTCCTCACAAAAAAAAAATACCATCTCTAAATTCCTATCGTAGGAAATTGAAAACAGTATGAAATTTAATGTAGTTTGTAGTGTAGTAGATAAATCAAACTTGTACCTTTCCCCTGGAAGTGGAGGCAACTTTAACCTCGTTTGAGGATATTTGAACCCTTCTTAGCCTAGCTTTCAAGCCAAAGCCAAACTTGATAGATGGCAAAACTTTCTCTAATCTAATATTTAATTTGCTGTTTATGAATTCATAAGCAAAACTTTCTCTAATCTAATATTTAATTTGCTGTTTACGAATTCATAGATGAGAGGGATAAGTCATTTTGGGGCAGGGTGATTTCTATCTGTTAGATTACTGCTTAAGCAGCAGATGAGGGGAAGTTCTGTTGCCTGTAGCAGCATCAGGAGTGGGAATTATTCTATAAGGTGAGTATACCACGTGTCTTTTTGTATGGAAAATCTAAGTCAACTTATGCATTGAGTCGGTTTAAACACTCTCGGCTGCTGATGAGAAATGATGAATCCTGACTTTTCTGATACCTTTTTATCTTAAAATAATGAAGTACATTTATTTTATTTTATATATTTCAATAGCACACTATCTCGAATTCCTAAAAACTTCATATTTTCTCAGCAAGATCAAAATTAGTTAAAAATATAGTTTGTCAGTTGCTCACAGTAGATTTTCAGTGGTCAGTATTAACCTAGTTTGTGTTTCAATATCAGACTGTGCTCATTTGAAAGGGCCATTGAATAAGGAGAAAACAAAATGACACCCCAAATTGATTTTTTGATCCTCTTAACAATCTCTCTTTCTATAAGACATAATAATTAAATTTTATCAGTCTTTTTTTTCTTTTCCTTTTTACAGGAACACCAGTGTATTCAGTAGCCTGGGGCCCTGATTCAGAAAAGGTTCTCTACACAGCAGGCAAGCAGCTGATCATTAAACCTCTTCAACCAAATGCTAAAGTTTTACAGGTATTTCCAGTCATTTGTAAATGTTTTATCAGGATCTGCCGGGACTGCTAAATGAGAGGTCACTTTATTAGGAGTCCCTTTCTTCTGGGTGGTCTTTTTACAGTCTGAGGCTTTTAAGTGTGTGGTTTTATTAGCCTTTATTACAGAAGAGGGAATATCTGGTTATGTTTCCAACAAGGTTCACTTCTTTATTCCAACTCACATTATACTAGTAAATCATAAGTGTGTTTTGAGTTACTAAACTGTCACATGATTTTGCACAATAGGCATCTTTTTTTTTTTCCCCTTTTTCTCCCCAAAGCCCCAGTAGATAGTTGTATGTCATAGTTGCACATCCTTCTAGTTGCTGTATGTGGGACGCCACCTCAGCATGGCTGGACAAGCGGTGCGTCGGAGCGGCCTGGGATCTGAACCCTGGCTGCCACCAGTAGAGCGCACGCACTTAACTGCTAAGCCACGGGGCCGGCCCACAATAGGCATCTTTATTTATTTATTTATTTATTTGTTTATTTTTTCCCCCAAAGCCCCAGTAGATAGTTGTGTGTCATAGTTGCACATCCTTCTAGTTGCTGTATGTGGGACGCAGCCTCAGCATGGCTGGAGAAGCAGTGCGTTGGTGCACGCCCGGGATCCGAACCAGGGCCGCCAGCAGCGGAGCACGCGCACTTAACCGCTAAGCCACGGGGCTGGCCCCCGGCATCTTTAAATTTAGCAGAGTCAGCCTCACATATATAGATTTGAGACAAAAGAGGACTAAATCATAAAACTTTAAGAGCTTGTTTAGACTGTGTTTACATCATCGCTAGTATCTTTCTCCTCTTTCTCCTCACTTGTTAAATACACTTGAGCTTTCTCTAAGACCCTAGCATTCTTTTAGTATTTTTAGAGTGGAGGGAGAGTCAATGTAATGTTTAGAACAAATTAGATGTATGTAATTGTACCAATTATATAGAAGCAGAACAATGGTGGCAGTTATGACAAGTCAGGGTAGGATAAATTAATGGAAAACCTTTAAGCCTATGTCCAGGATTTTGGTGTTTGATTCCAGTGTTGAAAGGTAGAATCATTTTCTTTGTGTTTTGGTAATGACGCAGTGTAGTGTGGGTAGTAAGAGTAGAGGCTTTGGAGTTAGTCACCTTGGTTCAAATGTTCACCTACTTACCCATGTGTGACTTGAGGCCAGTTATAAAATATCTTTGAGCCTCAGCTTTTTCATCTCTTAGTTGTGATGCTAAAACCTACTTGATAGGATTGTTGTGAGGATTAAATGAGTTAAATTGCAGCGTGCATAGGACAGTGCATACAATAAGCTCTTAGTATAGAGTAGTTGTTATTATTGATGTTATTATGTCATCTCTACCTTTTAGTCAGCCTCTAATAAGAGCTAAGGAGGCCAGAAATATGATATAGAATGACTAGATCCCGGGTCGGGGATTTGATGCTGGAGCTTGACCGGCTACTGCAGTTATAAAAGTGTTTGAAGAAGAAGCATCACGTTTACCAGTTGAGTAGATATAGATTTTGAGAGAGTAAAGAGATAGAAATGACTTTGAGTTTCCACGTTAATAACTTCTATGTAGATTATGCTATATATATTTCTTATAGTCAACATGCATTTACATTTTTACTACATACAGAACACTCTGCTAGGATCTGTGGGACAAACAAGAAATAGAAGGTACAAGTCCTTGCTCTTAGGCAACTAAGGCAAAGAATTTGCACAAAGGGAAGAAGCTGGGAAAGAGGACTAGTCCTGACTGCCTTTAGTCAAGTCCTTCCATACCACTTATACTCCGAAAATTTGCTTTGAAATTATACAGCAAAAAACAGGCAAGATGAATCTTTCAGTTTATAGTTATGTGATTTGTTTAGATGCCTGTAATTAGGCTTACATAAATAAAACTCAGGAAGATGCTTATATCACCACTGATAAATTATAGTTTAATGGTTCAGTAGAACCCTTGGGCCAAGAGGTAGTGGAGGGAAGGAAAAATATCCATTGCCAAAATTCAGCTAAAGTGCGGAGGAGTTAAAGTATAATTAGTAACTTAGTGCAAATTTTTTATTCCTTTTGGAAAACTAAAGTTGCAGCAATTCTCCTTGGGCATAAACATATGCAAAAAGGAATGCTTAATTAATTATTTATTTAGAATACAGTTCAGAAGTATATACCTCATTTCTCTTAAGAGCTCTAGGGGCTTTTCTAGAGATCCAGAACTTGGTTTTATAGTGAGGAGACCTTTGTTTATTTATTCATTCACCGAAGTTGTAGTGCGTACTTACTATATAACAGGCACTATGCTAGGTGTGAGATGTTCAAAGTGAAACAGAACATAGTTCCTGCCTTCAAGGAATTGCTTGTCCAAAGGGATTTCACAAAATGCCTAATACATTGAGAAATAATTGAAAACTGTCTATGCATTATATGTAATATGTAAATATATGTAATATATAAATTGATATCCTAAATAATACTATAAGGATAATTTAAATCATATTTTTTAACTTTTGAATATCCAAAAATTTATTTTTGTAGCTTTAAAATGAAACTGTTGAGAATCTCTGTGTATGTGTATCCATATATATTTATATCTATGTCTATATATTGTTATTTTTGTCCTTGCAGTTTATTTTAGGACATTGGATTAATTTGGCATTAAACTGTGAGAATTATTGCTTTTTAACATATTATTAAAACATTTGCTTTTGAGAGTGTGTGTTTTTATATATCTTGAATAAAGCAAGCTATGAATTATTGCTTATTCTTAGAGCTTGTTTGACCCTAATTTACTATTTTATTCTGTATACATTTAGAACACTAAGTTGGGAAGGGTCTATAGGGAGAGCCCTTAAAATCTGTCACTCTTTGATGTGAATTTAATTGGCTCAGACATTAAAATGTATTTTATAGTCTTCAATAAAAATTAATTCTTTTTCATTTATATTATTCTGCCTAAACATGGTGAAAGACACCTTTTAATTACATGTCTGGTAATAGCTAAATGGGCACATGAATTATATTTAAGAGCAAGAAGACATCCATGCTTACTTTTTAGATTGCCAATTTCTGGGTGACCTATATGTACACATACATGTTTGCATTCTATGTATGTATAGAATATATGTATATTGTGGAAGACATCCTTTTGTTATATGGTAAATGCAACAGAAAGTTTTCAGAGTAGTTCAGTGACTACTCCAGAGACATGAAGGTAAAGAGAATGAAGCTTAGGAGAATATGCAGAAGAGAATGGAGTACTAAAGAAGATGTTCATGTAGAAGTTTTTAAAACAAAGAAAAGAATTAAAAAACAACAATGAAAGCAGTATCAGTAATGGGATCAACTGTACAAAGGAGGGCAAGATTTGGATTCAACTAAGTTTTAGAGTACACAACATATTCATTCCAGTGAATGAATGACAACCTTGTCAAGCTTGTCAAATTTCCATCTGGAGTCGAGACAACCAAGGAAATTTATAAGGATGTAAGCTCTATAGGGGGTTTCATAGTACTCAGTGCTTTCATTAGTTTAAATTAGAAATGAAACAAGCAAATGAAGTTATGCATAATGGCTATGAAAGGATAGGAAACTTCAAGGAGGGGACAAGAGAATCATTAGAAAGAGGCAAAATGTCTTTTCTTATAAAAAAATTTTTCAGTGCTCTTGAAGTTATAATTAATATCTTATTTTTTTCTCAAAGTGGAAAGCTCATGATGGCATTATTTTGAAAGTAGATTGGAACTCAGTCAATGATCTAATTTTATCTGCTGGTGAAGACTGTAAATATAAGGTATGTAATGTTTGAATTTGTCACTTGGTTGAAAGAATCAAATTTAGGTGTAAAGTACTAGCATATAAGAATATTCTTTTAGTCCTTCACTTTAGCCATGACTTTTAACTCTAATAATTTAGCAAATTGTTATTTTATAATTTTAAGTGGTATTTTAAAGTGTTGACTTTCTCATTGGCCTATCTCATTGATCTACAGAATTTGATTTAATGAGTAGCAACATAAATACAACTCCTAGTTTTAGTGACTATTTAAAGCAACTCAATTTAAATTTTTAAAAATCAACCTTACTGGTTTGTTAAACGTTGATTAGCTTCAGACTAAAATAATTTGTGAAGACGAATAAGATTTAATGTGACTATAGTTAGAGGAAATTGAAATAAATACTTTTAGGGAAAGTTGATAGAGCACATATTGGGCAAAAAAATTTAAGCAAAAAACTGGACATCTCAAAACTTTATTATTAAATTTAAAAGGAGTTAAAATGAGTAGGTTTTATGATTAATCAAAGATTTAGTAAAATCTGAAAATTATCACCATGTTATCATAGAATGTGTTTTTGAGATACTTAGGTTTCAGGCAATACAGCTATTTTCCCACTTGTGTGGTAGTAAAGACATTTATTTAATTGCTAGTATTATAAAGTGATGATTTCTAAATCTTGATAACTTACTAGAAGACAAACTTGTTTGTAATAATGTGGTGACTGTTATGGAAGATTTTTTAAAATTTGCTTTTGTAGGTATGGGATAGTTACAGCCGCCCTCTGTACAATTCACAACCTCATGAGCATCCTATTACCTCAGTTGCCTGGGCTCCAGATGGAGAATTATTTGCTGTTGGATCATTTCATACTTTACGCCTGTGTGATAAAACTGGGGTAAGTTGTACTGGTGAGCAATCACAGATGTGCTGTCATACATCTAGTAATGCACAATCTTTAAAAAACACCTGGTTCTCAATCTTTAAAAAACGTTTTCAATGAATGCATTTGATTGCATCTTTCTGATTTGTCTTCTTAACATACGGGTTCAATCAATTCCAGATTTATAGGACCATACAAACTCTGTAAGTTCAGTTTGAAGAATGGATATGTTCTCTACTATTTGTCTTCCTGGGAATACTTATTTTAAGCATGATTGTGAAAGATGGTGAAGTAGTTAAAGTATTAAAATTTATGCCCAATCAATATGCAGAGTTCAGTTTTAGCCTTTTTCTAATTGTCAGTATGTTTCATATAAAAATTTTGGTTGCATATTTTTGGTAAGGAATTGATAGTAAATTTTTAAAATAGTCATTTTAAAACCAAAGGACTTTGGTTTTTGTCGAGAATTCATGTTTGAATATGTGTGAGACTTTTTCCTCACAAGAGAATATGCCCTCCTTCATACAAATTCTGTTTACAACTTCGGCAGAGCCAAGCTCAATGCATTTACCCACTGTACTTGAAGAATGAGTTGTTTCATCAAATGCTTCAGAAGCGGCAGCATTATATGAGTGGGGCTATTCCATACTATTCCCAACTATGAGGAAATCACATAATTGTTCTGTGACTTATCTTCCTCAAATGCAAAATAAGACAGCTTAGAATTTTTAGAGCTTTATAAATGATCTATTAAGTGTTCTGGTTAGTTGTTTTCTATTACATAAAATATAAAGTCCTCTGCTTGACTTTAGAGGCTCTTTGAAGCCTGGCGCCATAAAATCCATTCAGTCTTTTCCCTCCACTACTCCCTAATTTGTGTCTGTGCTCAGTCAGGCTCATGAATCTTCTCTGCACTTACCTTCTCCTTTCATGGAATGCTCTCACCTCTGTCTTATACGCACTGAGTTCTACTCCTTCTTTAAGGCCTATCTAATGTTTGACTTCCTTTCATGATACCCTCCAGAGATATTGTCAAGTTTATCTATTTTTCTAACTTATTCTCACCTAGGTATCATTTTTTAGGTATAATATCAAGATGTTAGATCAGATCATCTTATTTTCATCTGATTTTCTATCAATGATTCTAAGTCTATGGAATATGTACTCTCATTTTCACAATGTATTATGCTCTTACATTGTCCATTTTAGTTTTATATATATTATTTTTGACTCACTGGATAGTTTATAAGATCCCAGAGCTTAATGACTCTCTATTAATCTATAAAACACAGTAGATACTCGATAATTCACTAAGTCAATTGAAGCATAATAATTTTAATTTGCCATTTTGATGAAAATATTTAAAAATTTTAAAAACTTGGGGCATTGAATTGATCTGAATAACTGAATTAAAAATTTACTTCATTAAACACCAAACCTATCTTTAGAATGTTAACTATTTTGGAAAAGTAAACTTTCTAAAAGGATTTTGCTTTTACCTTGTTCAACTGAATATATTACAATAATTTTTTAAGGACTTGAGATTAACATTTTAAATATATTTTCTTTTATTCAATAGTCATTAAATATACACTACCCATCAGAGAATATTTTAGAAACTGTAGATGAGAAGATGGAAAGATTTTCACTCAAGTTGTTGACAGTCTAGTGGAGAATCAGACTATAAGACTTATAGTACAGTGTGATAAGTGCTATACAGGAGGTTTGGTTTGTGCAAGCACTGTGAACCACTCTGCACTGTGGCAGAGCTTAGCTCTGCCTGTGGGACATTGATTGGAGAGCTGAGGCTTGAAGAATTAGTAGTTCCCCAAGTAGATAAGTTGGGGGAAGAGAGTTGCAGCCAGAAGGAACCTCTTGTGCCTCAAAGTATGATGCTTTTTGTGCAATATCAATAAGATTTTGCATGGGATAATACCAGGAGATAATATAGAAAAGATATTCTCAGACCAGATCTGTATTTGCCATGTAAAAGAGTCTAAATTATAACATTTTAAGAATCTAATTATTTTCTGTGCTTAGGGGTTGCTGTGGGGTAGTAAAGAAGTGAGGGGGGTGAGCTCTTGGTCCTCCTCTCCACCAGCAACCAGAAAAGCTCTACATTAATCAGGTTTACTATTTGAGCATCCAATATAAGATTTCTTTTTTTTTTTTTTTGTGAGGAAGATCAGCCCTGAGCTAACATCCATGCCAATCCTCCTCTTTTTGCTGAGGAAGACTGGCCCTGGGCTAACATCTGTGCCCATCTCCCTCCACTTTATTTAGGAGGCCGCCACAGCATGGCCTGAGGAGCGGTGCATCGGGTGCGCACCCGGGATCCAAACTCGGGCCGCCAGCAGCAGAGCATGTGCACTTATCCACTACGCCATGGGGCTGGCCCCCAATATAAGGTTTCTTTTGAACAGCTAAAACAATGAAGTTGGAAAACCAGTGTGTTAGTCAGTAGAGAGCCATAGATGGTAGTAACATGATAATATTCAAATATTGGAAATATTGCTTTGGTATTAAAGGAACAGTGGTGCAGGAGAGGAAAGAACGCAAAGGCAAAGAATTAAAGTCTGTTAGAAAAATTAAAAGTTCAGTATGGCTATAGTAGTTTGGATTTTATCCTTAGGACAGTGGTGAGCCACTGATCCATTTTAAGTAGTGACCTTATTAGATTTGGCATTTTTAGGGAAGTGTACCCTGAGGTCAGCAGGGAGTATGGATTAGAGAGGAGGTAAACTGGAGGTGGGCTGGCTAATGAGAGGCTGTTGCAGTAGTACAAGAAAATGATATTGCCTGAATAATAGGGAATAGCAGTGGGGATGGAAAGAAGTGGACAGGTTCAGGAGATAAATTCTTGCTGTAAAAAGTGGGAAGAGTCAAAAATAATTACCTGGATTTCAATTTGAGTACCTTACTATCTGGGTGCCAGCCTGACGATAACACCCTCTTATGGTATTGTATAATTTGTACTGGCTTTGTGTGGTATAATTTTGTTAGGTGTTTGTGCAATCATTACAATAGTAAATCAAGTTACCTAAATTTCAGCATTCATAAGTATCACCTGGATATTGCTAAAATACATATTCTTGGGCCTCCATTTGCAATGTGATGAATCAAAATCTCAGGAGAATGGAGCGCAGGGAGTTGTACTTTTAAGAAGTTCCGTGGTTTTCTTTATGAAGGACACTTAAATAAACCTGTGAGATGATTGATATTCCTTCTGAGCTCTGAAAGTGGTAATGCTTGCCCTACTGTAGAAAAAATACTTTAGATTTAGAGATGAACTAGTAAATGATAATGAAAGTGATTCCAAAAGGGTAGTCTAATTGAAAAGATTAAGTTTTTAAAAAATCCCCTGTAATTTATTCTTCTGATTCTTTCTTAACATCTGCTTCATTTAAAATTATTTTGGGAATATAATTCTTTTTGTCTCTCTCATAATCTATAACTTAAAGTTGTATAATTAATAGTAGTAATCATTTATCCAGGGCCGTATTTTGTGGCAGAATTTCAGTATTAGATGTTATAAGAATCTGGTCCTCAGGAATGATCTATATCCTATCATTTTGCTGTAGGGAAAATGTTTATAGTATATGAATGTGTGTGATGATATTGTCTCTTAATTTTCTAAATCGATTCTTTCAGAATAACTAGTTGTAAATACTATGGGAGCATTTACAGTCATTGAATTATCAATGGATTTTTTTGTTTCATTTCTGCCTTGTATATTTTCACAAAATATTTGGAACTCTTTCATTTGATCATTTTTTCTTTTTGCATGATTTTTATTAACTGTTTCATATTTCCCTTTATATGATTATCACTTAGAGTTTATGAGTTATTTGATTAGACTAGGTTCTATTTATTCCTAGAATAGTTCCTAGAAAAAAAAAATATATAGATATGTTTGTTCAAACCTTTCTGGAGGATAATTTGACATTATGTTTCAAAAACCCAAGAACTAGGGGGCTGGCCCAGTGGCACAGTGGTTAAGTTTGTGTTCTCCGCTTTTGTGACCCAGGGTTTGCAGGCTCGGATCCCAGGTGCACACCTACACACCGCTCATCAAGCTGTGCTGTGGCGGCATCCCACATATAAAACAGAGGAAGATGGGCATGGATGTTGGCCCAGGGTCAATCTTCCTCAGCAAAAAACCAAAAAACCAAAAAACCCAAGAAATAAATATACGTATACCTTCACCCAGCAACTCCAGTTCTAGGAATTTACCTTATAGAAATAATAGGAAAAAGAATACTCAATGAAGTGTTATTTATAATTTAACAAATGAAAAACAATCTAAATCCCCAACATTAGAACATTATTTAACTTAATTTATGGAATATAACTATTATAATGAATTATTACGTAGTTATTAAAAATGATAGTTTACTTTCATAATGCCGTGAAAAGATTTTTAAGATATATAATCAGAAGAAAAAAAAATAGTTACAAATTTTATGCCTAGGATGGTCCTATCTGTATAAAAATGTATGTGTCTATATATACGAATAGAAAAATAGTCTGACAGAATATAACACATTTTAACAATGGTTATCTCTGGAGTTTGAAGTGTTAGGTGATTTTTTCTTCTTTTTTGTATATCTGCATTTTCTAAAATTTTCAAATAAAGAACATGCTTTCTATAATTTTTGAAGAGAAAAAGAACTAGATTTATTCTTGCAAAGGGTTCCTGGACCCAATCCCAATGTGTGCGTAAGGTGCCTTCCCCACACCAACAGGCAGTTCTTGGATGTCAGCAGGGTGTCCTGTAATTCACCTTCCTCTGATGCTATCTACCCTGAGATAGAATCACATGCTGCAGGGAAAGGGTTCAGTTGCACAAGACCACTCTCCACTTCAGACACCAGTCTCAAGTCTAGGTTGTTACCTATGCATCTGACCTACCAGCTACAAACTGGAGATTCCCATGGCCCCCCTCCAACTCAGGATGCCAATCGCAAGTCCAGGTTGTTACCTGTACTTCTGACCTACTGGCTATAAAATCAGAG